TTTCACATCGAATATAAAAAATCATCTTCTTTTCAATCAAATTAATTTCTCACTTAAAAGCTTTATAATTGATATAAGATTAAGAACAAACAGATAATATAATAAAGAAGAAATATTTAAAATAAATTATACAAAAAATAACATTTCTTTTCAAACTTTATAAACAATCGAAAACGATATTTAATTAAAATAAGAATAATATCACGATTCATAATTTTCTTTATAATAGTATTATTGATATCGATGATTTATAAGCCGATTACAGGGGAGGTATGATTCAACCGTTGCTTTCGAAGGTTCTGATTACTTAAACCTAGGACCCCAGGATTTCTAGGATAAGTATCCTAAACAATCATAGTAGAATAAAATAAATATCCTAACTAATTAAGTATAATAGAATTATCACCCTAAAGGATATTATATTCTAGGATTATAATTCCTAAAAAGAAAGCTTTTAGAATAAGTATTCCAGAAAAGGAAAGACTTTAAGATATAAAAGGCTTTAGGATCAATTATATGATATACTAGCTCTGCTAGCCCAGCTAACAAAGCTAGCATCACAGGAATACTAGCCGTACTAGCCCAACTAGCATAACTAGCACAGGAAAAGAGATTAGTATATAATCAGAATAGTTTCATAATTTAGAAGCTTTGTATTCAACTTAGTTATCAATTAGTTTACCTACATTCCAATTGATCTAGTAACATATTCACCTTCGAATAGATAATCAGTGATTATTAGCCTTAACCTACAACTACCAATCAGACGAAACCCTGAGGCAGCCGCTGCCCCTACCAGATCGTTACAGTATAATTTATTAATATTTCTGAATATTTATTATATTTCTTTTTTGAATCTAATAAATATTTCAAAAATGATTTATATTAGATATATTCGTTTTTTGAGATTATTTAGATAAATAAAATAATTTTTAAGATAAAATTGAATCCATTTAGAGATTTCTTTTTTGAAATAAAAGATAATCTAAATGTTTTTATCGATATTATAATAGAACTTGTTTTTATTAAATTGGAAATAGATCTTAAATTGAAATAAGAAGGTTTTTAATTCTTATTAATAATTTATAAACTTATTGAATAAAACAATTTTGAAAATTTCAATAATAATGATTTTTTTAAGATCCTTTGTTTCTTTTATAATAATGTCTTTATCTTGATTTATATCTTTTAAAGTAATTGAAATTAGATTATTAGATTGAAGGGTCTAAGAAAATATAATATTATTTTATCGAATTGATATTTGAGGTAATAATAATATTCAAAATGTTACAAAGGATATAATTTAAATTATATAGAAATAATTTAGATCTTCGAATAGTTTATAATTAAATATCAAATAAAAACTTTAAAGTAATATCAATAATTACAATTCGTAATTAATAATAGAATATATTAAATAATTGATTTTGAATATAAAGTTTTATAAAAGGAATCCTTTTCTAATTATATAAATCTTTGTATCAATTGAATTATAAAAATCTAATAGATTTAGAATATAATTCTTTAGATCTTTTAGATTCTATAATTCATTATATGATTACGATCAGATTATATATCCGAGTTTGTTAAAGGTAGGGAGATTATATAAGGCGATTATTATATAAATTTGTATATAAATCGTTTTGTTTTTCGATAGAGTCTAAGTTTATAAAGATAAATTGATTATTACTTTATAATACTAGATCATCTTTTTTGAATATTAATAATACATTGAATATATAAAGAGATTTAGATTTTTTAATTTATTTTTTCTTTTCAATTTTAATTCTATATTTTTTCTATATCTTTATAATACTAGGATTATATAATCTCAACTTTTTGATAAGAAGTACAAATCTCTTTTTGAAATTAATTTTATAATCCCAAAATTTATATTCTGATAAAGCTTTTAAATCTTATAAATTTTCAAAGAATTTGATGAATCTTCTATATTACATTAGAATTTCTTTTTTATCGATTTTATTAATTAATAAAAGATTCATTATTGTTATAATATAATATCTAGTCTCTTTAAAAATCTATTCTTTCGAATTATATAATTATTTATTATTATAATCATAACAATTGAATATTAAAATATCTTTTACTTAATTGATATTTGAATTATATTTCTTAATTTATAAAATATCAAGAATAATTATATATCTATTTAATAATACTAAATTCATTTTGATCTATTTGATATATCTATTTGATATAATTATTTTGATAATATTGATTTCTTTATATACTCAATTATCAATTTCAGTTTTCTTTCTTTCTAATAGTATCAATTGATAAAGATTCTATTTTGATTTTATAAGAATTCTATTTTCTCTAACAAAATTGAGATTTATAAATATATTTATAATTTTGAAATTAATCAAAATGTTAATTTGTTGATTCTTTAATTTGATTTTTATAATTAGTTGTTTGATTTCTATAATACTATTGAGTTTTAACAATAATAATTCAATAATTTGTTTTTTAATAAAGAGATTCAATTATTTATATTATTGTTCATTTATATTTAATAATTAATAGAATATAAGAAATAGTAATTTTATTAATCTTGTTTAAAAATCTTGATAATAATTTTGATTTAATGTTTCTTTATTATTCTTATCGATCTTTTGTTAAATATAACGAATCCTGATTTGTAATAATATTTTTATATTTTTTAATTTCCAGATTATATTTATTATATTCTTATATTTCATTGAAGGATAAAGAATCTATATTTGTAATATATCTTTTGATATTATTTGTTCTAATATTTTCTTTAAATATTATATAATAAATATTATTATATATTATTATATAAAATACTAATAAGATAGAATAATTATGATTTCTGTATTTCTTTATAAAGTTTGATTTCTTCTCTTTATAATAATATTAGATATGTTTCTTATTTAAATAATTAATTAAATATTATAATTTATTTTCTTGAAATAGATAATAGGATTCAATTAATTGTTGATCCTTTTTGAATTCCTCGATTGGTTTTTTGTTTTCTGATTTGAGGTTTTTTCAAGAATTCTTTTTTATAATTGATATTGTTTTTAGTATTAGTTTTAGAGTTTTGATTATTGATATCTAATTCCTTTAATTATTTAAGATTAAATTGAAATAAATCTCTTTTTAATAACCCTATTTTCTTCAAACTTTCTTTTAAGATCTTTACTTTTCGAGAACTTTGTTTTCTATTTCCAAATTTATTTTTTTTCTGTTTTTTATAATGAATAATTTTTTCTTTTGAAAATAATCTTAAAATATATATTTATTTTTCTTATAGATATAATATAAATTATTCTTTTTATATTTTTTTTTTGTTAGTATTTATATTATTTAATTTTATATAATATTATTCGATATTATTTAATTCTATTGGATTATTGATATTATAATATTTGTTTTGATAATAAGATTTTTGAAACTTTTTGTTTTCTTAAATGATTTCTTTCTTCTTTATTTATTATTTATAGAATCAATTATCAATAAGAATAAAAATTTCGATCAATTTAGAAAGATTAAATAGTTTTGAAGCTTTTGTTAGTTTGTTCTTAATGATATTTTTCAATCTTTTATAGAATTGTAATTTTAGATAATCATTATTTTATATAATATATTTAATATATTATTGAAACTTGATAATATAAATTATAATTGATTTAATTTATTTAAATTATTGTAATACTTTTTCAATTATATAATCAGGGTTTATTTCCTTGAATACTTTGTTGAATCTTTATCTAAATAATTTGTAATTAAAGAAAAGATAATGAATTTTAGATTTTATATTTTTATTTAATTGATTATTAATAATCTTAATTATTAGATTATTAAAAAATGATTCAATCTAATTAAATATAATTCTTTGAAAAAAAAAGATCAATTATAAGATTCTTTATATTGAAATTAAAAAAAGTTGTTTATTAAAAGTATAATAAAGATTAATTTGTATAATAAAAGCTTGATGTTTATTACGATTTCTATAGAATAGATTAAAAATGGATATTTGAATTGTTTGTTTGTGTTTTATGATAGTAGTGATTTGAATAAAGGTCTCGATTGAATTGAATGAAAACGATTCGATAAATTATTGATTGGAAGTTATTATATTATATATAATTTAATTATAATAATGTTTAAAATGTAATGATTTGATCGAAATAATAACTGTTTGAGGTTTTGTATAATTGATAATTGTAAATTAAAATTGATAATCATTGATTATCTATTCGAAGATAAATTTATTATTAGATTAATTAAAATATAAATAAATTAATTAATAATTAAATTAAATACAAAACTTCTAAATAATAAAACTATTTTAATTATATATTAATGAATATAAAGAAATTTTGTAAAATCTTAAAGCTTCAAAAAGCTTTTGAAGCTCTAAAAGCTTTCGAAGTTCTCAAAACTTCTTATCATATAATTAGAATCAGACTATATATCCGAGCTTGCTAAAGATAAGAAGATTATATAAAACAATTGCCATACAAATTTGTATACAAGTTGCTTTGCTTTTCAAGGAGGTCCAAGCTCATATAGACAGGTTGACTATTGCCTCTCAACACATTATAATCTTAATCATGAATCGTGATATTGATAATAATATTATAAACTTTTTTTTTTATATTAATATCAATAAATGTTTTATTTAATAAAAAAATTTAAAATATTTCATTCGATATATATTTCATTATTAGATATGATATTATTATATACAAAATAGATTATTATTATTTAATAAAGTTAATTAATAAAGAATAATAAAATGAATTGTAGTCTTATCCCTTATAGGTTTAGCGGCCGCAGCATGAGGCAAAGCGCACGCACGAGCCAGGCCCCGCTTTTAAACATGTATAAGATAATATTCTTTCCTTTTCACTTGATTGAAGGCACGGATGGCAGAGTTGGTAGCCATCGTGTGAAATGAAATATTATGCAGGAATATCCATTCATGGAATGGTTGATTATTTTGAATTGCAGATCTCCCAAACGCCCACTTTACATTTCCCAATACAGTATACAGAAGATAAGTTTCTCTGTCGCTCCCTTTCTTCACACAATTTACATTTGCCCCAAAATCAGTCGCAGCATAACAAGACTTGCAAAGATATCTCCTCACGCACTTTCCTAGTAATTCTGCTCCTCTAAGTCCTTAATTCATCACCCTCTGAAGCAGCTCTCTGCTGTGTTCGCGCCCGCGCCCCTCTCTGCATGCGTGACATTGCATTTGATCACATATAATCGCTCAAGTTGAGGATGAGTTAGGGGGGAAGTTAGGGAGTCTGGATGAGACATCAGAAGGGGGTGGTATAATGAATACGGCTAGTCCCCCCGTATTCTTTTCTCTTCTTCATTACATATCAAATCTCTCATATGAATGAAAAGTATTCGTGATATAGAGCGTGGTTCCAATAAGTAAAATAACATTTCAAGTTTCATCTTCCCCGTCAAACAATACACTCAAAGTCTTCGCCATCTTTCTTTTTCATCACAACTTCAGAGAAGTCAAGAAGATATCACATTTCGTGGCTGAGAATTCTTTGCCTTTCTCGGACCCTCCGGCAGCAAATTCCTTGCCACCTCAATAATCTGATCCCAGTCATTACTATCTTTTTGTAGCGCTTCAGCTCTATGCTTAAAGAATGTTTCAACCTCAAGTCGCTTGTCGCCTGCGTTGCCGGTTCCAATTTTTTTGAAAGCCCTTTTCATCGCGTTGATATTTTTGATATCCTTTAGTGATTCCTCGTCAATACCATCAGCGTCATGGCTCTTGTTCTGATGCCAGTGACGTATCGCCGCCAACCGAACACAGTGTATAATGAGTCCAGCGAGTCCGGCCGCTAATGCGGTAGCAACGGACGATCCGGTCTTGGGAATGTCGTCTTCTTCTTTGATGGAGTCGTCGCTCAAAAGCTTGACATTATCACCAGGAAGGATACAATCCACCAATTCGACATTGCCCAACCACGAATAGGCGGACCCATCGGCTTTAGCGGCGCCAATTCTAAATATTCGATTTTCGTTATCGGAATCCCCGAATGGATAGTATGTGCTGAGTTTATCTGGGGTAGCACGGCCAATATCAGGGGCAGAGCAAAATACGAGAATATTCTTTTGCGTGGCCTTTTTAATTGCTGACGAAAGACGGTTGATATGTTTCTCGTTATCCCCTTTCTGCACCGTCCATGAAATTGAAATAATATCGAAACCACGCGTCACAGCAAATTCGACGGCCTTGGACGAGATAATCAGATGATGCATACCAACTTTATAGTGATCTACTCACATCGGCGGCGCTTTCAGCCGTGAAGCTAGCTGATCCATCTCCTCCTCGTATGACATTCAATTTGCAAACGTATATCTCCACGCGTGGGCAGATGCGTCCTATCATGTAGGCCACTAAACATAAGATGTTAGCAAGTCTATTGTGTGGTGTTAAAACCATAAGAGCGATGACAGTGGGATCAAAGAGCATCATACTGTAGGTGCCGTGTCCTGTCGTCGAGCCATGAAACGCTGCCACACCTTTACCAGTGCCGAAGCTCCTACCCCCGTTCAGCTTATCCCCGATGGCTTTATGCATGAAATCAGCACCATCGTCTATTAGTGCCACCTGAACATCTTTACGCAAAGCCTGAGGTAGTTTACTGTCTTTTAAATAATTCTGACCTTGATCCAGCTTTTCTTCTTGTGGGGGTTTCAGTTTGCAAATAGCTTTAACAAAAGAGTCCATGACCGTCAACCATTGGTGAGGGTCAATCTGCGTCTGGCCAGCATCTTTCGAATATATCAGATGCATTCCGTGCCCTTCAGATGTCGCGTTGCTATTGGTGGCATTGTAAATTAGATCCTTGACTTTTATTGTTCGCGAGCCTTGTATAACATGCATTCGTCTTCGGAATTCGTTGTAATCTCTCTCTACCTTTTCCTGGGATTCAAGCAATCCCTAACCAAAAATTAGTCAAAATCCTGCTGTGAATATGTGGTATCTTCAAACCTTTGATGCATAAACATAGATTGTTTCCAAGTGCTCCATCTTGACAAGTCCATCAGGTTCACTCCAAGCTCGAAGAATAGCATTATTTCCCTTCCAGTAGAGATGAACTTCACGTAGATTAGATTTTTTACAGGCGTCTTGAATGGTTTTCGGATCTAGATCCCACTTCCGCCAATCTAATATTTCAATATCCAAACCTTCTAGCGATTTTTCGAGTGCCTCATCACTGTGTGGCGGATCCTTCAAATCGTCAACTGTTACCATGACTATATGAGTAATTTCCTTCTCGTTTTTCAGCCAATTAAAGAACTCGATTATATCTTTTCGTCCATTTCCAGGTTTGGCCATCCCTTCTGGTCGGCGACGCGAACCGTTGGGGACATCGAGTTGAATCTCCCCAAAATGCACTGATTGTAGAACTTTGTCGAAAGCGAATTTCCTGTAGCTTCTCTTGAAATCATTAAATATAATGTTCTTAGTGACCTGGCCAGTTGGCGGAAATTGGAAACAAATGTTCATGTCTGAGGAATGATGAAAGATTAGAATTCCCTTCTAGATTGGTGATTTGTATCACATACCATTAGGATTATCTCCGTAAAGAAATTTAATAGCAGAATCATGTGATCTATTACTATTCTTCTGGAAAATGGAGCGGAGGTAATGTAGTTTCAGATCATGGGCAATTAATTTATACTTTTTCAATCTCGCCTTTTCCTTGCTTTGATCCAGAGGCGGGTTCGACTCCTGATTGGCTGATTGTAACGTTTTTGATACCGGGAGCTATGGTTCACGTCAGTTGTTGTTGAGCACAAGAATTTCAAAAAGAGACTATCCGCGAGGATGAGATCTTTACCTTTATGCTGTTAGGCGGTGATTGAGCCAATACAGGGGAGAATGGGATTTTATTCTTGTCTGTCGACGATAGTCTCGTAGTGGTGGTTAGTGTGTGGCGTAATCCGTGTGATTCCAAGGGGACCAGGGGATCTCTGGGCTTAGAGGTATTGACTTGTGAGTTATCCTTCTGCATTTTTGCCCGCGTCTTCCGGTCGACTTCCATCACATAAGCTCGATCATCCTCGGTCTTCTTCTCCTGTCTCTTGTTTTCCTCAGGCAGATTTCTGTCTATATTATGGTTCAGGTTTTCTTCAGGTTGGGAAGAAATTTCCAGTCTTTTCTTTTCCTTGCTCGCATTACCCGGCTTTGCGGGTGCAATTTTGGGTTTTTTAGTGGTCTTTTCTTTGTATTTTTGGACGAGATTCTCATAAACTGAACATTTTTTGGAATCTTCATTTCTTGCGGCCATTCCTGAGTTGATCCCTACATCAAATGCTTTATCGCCATTTTTGATAAGCGCTTTTATAATGTCTCGACGGCTTGATATCGACTTTGAGAAGTCTACAGCGAAATGTAGTGGCGTTAAACCATCTTTGTTCTGGGCAGACAAACAATCTTCGGATGCCTTGCCAATCAACTTTAGGATTAGATCCAATTCAAGCTTACTGCTAACAGCCACATGAATACAGTTTTCCGAATTCGAGTCCTTGAGTCCGAGAATTTCTTCCAAGTCTCCATCCTTGATGTCACTATCCAATGTAGCTATAACAAATGACGAACGGCGTCCACTAATCGCCGTTTGAAGAGGTTTGTTCGCATAGTTCACCGAACTGGACTCATGAAAAAGGGAAAGGCTATTTTTCACCACGTGCTCGATGAGCCATGAATACGGTGAAGATTGTTCCAATAGGCATGGATACGGTGAAGATTGTTGCAATAGCCAAAACAGAACATTTCTCGGCTCATACTCCGAGTGGGCACTGAGATGCTGTCCAAATTGCTTGAAAAATTTCTGCTGTCGATCCTTGCTCTGTTTCAATGCTGCAAAATTTGCGTTTAAATAATCTATAGCAGCCTTGAATTGCGCGACATTTTCCTCGACATCTTCCTCCTCGACATCTTCCTCCTCGTCACTGGTCGACTCACTATCGTCCGAATTATCCTGTGCACAACCTTGATTCGTGGTGCCCTTATCCAATGGTGAGCTTAATCCCGTTCCTGATGGGTATGACGTTTCCAGGAATGACATTTTCAGGAATGACAAAAATCCTCTTCGAAAAGTTACAAGATATCTGAGAAAGCTGGGTCATAATACAGACGTAGTTGAACTTCTATGATGGTAGAGCTGTTTTGTCAATGGATTTCTTGGTATTAGAAGTTGCTGAGTAATCAAGATATATATATGGAGTTCCTACCAATCAAAATGTGGTGATATCATGCAGGTATGATATCGGTTATTAGATGGGGTATCAGCCAATAAGTTTCGATCCCACTACACCAACATGTATTATATCTACTGGGTTGTGATTGCTACTTCCTATCCGGGTTATACGGTTGAGGCAAGTTTCAGGACTGGGTTCCCGCCCTATACCCCACCTGATGCCCAACCCCACACATGGTTTTGATTGCGAGATTGAGATTCCCTTCCGCTCTCCTTGTCCCGCTCTTGCCGAGTGGTCCCCTACTAAATCTCTTGCATTCAGCTCCGCTCAGCTCGGTTCAGCTCCGAATCTCTTCTTCCCTACTCATCATGCGTACATGGGAATATCTGCATGGCTCCCTATTGCATAAATCTTTGTCGCTGCTTTAACATTCAAAGACAGTGACAAGGTCTTTCGCTTCGTTTTCCTGGTCAAATAGCTTTTGGAGTGGTAAAGAAATTCAGACTGGTATTTCTTCCATATAAATAGGATTTCATGATACTCTCGATTTTGATTCGAATTTTTTAATTTTGTATAGCCTCCCTGAATCCAAACCGGGATTCTATTCTCACTTATAGCCAAAGGTTTATACTCACCTACCATAACTGATACTCAAGCGATGGATGACCGCCAGTTCGCAGAAGATCTTGAGCCAAGAGACATCTTGCTATACCCCGTGGGAGAATCTTCCAAGCTCCATCTCAAAAACAATCCTGACCAACCTTTCCAACGAGGCTGCATCTTCCAACAAAGCGACCGAATTTCCGTCAGTTGCGAGCATAAAGATATCATACATGGATCCTCCTCTAAAGAGAACGATGATTTTTACAGCCTCATCATTCTTCGATTTTGTTTCCAGCCCAATGGCATAGCACACCGCATCAAAGAAGCACATGTCAAGATCAAATTTTCAGCACTGGATCGAGGCAAGCCTGACCCTGAGGTGAAAGCAATCTCTCCCGACGGTTTATTCTCTGTTGAACCGACTCAACAGAATGAGACTTTACACAGAAGTGGTGGATTGAATGCTGCGGGTGGAGTTGGTGGCGTGTCTGTAGCTGCGGATTTGCAAACAGAGTCGACTATTGACCGTGTTATTCCTAATGCGACGATGCTCCGAGGCTCCATTAAAATCATTGATCGTATATGGGGAACGAATAATGGCGTGGAGTGGGCGCTCTGGGAGAATAGTTCCTTGAAAACCGGGGTTGTGCCGTATATGCAAGCAGCCATTTTGGTAAAACGATACGACATGGACAACTTCAAGTCCACAGTAAAAATCGATGTCACAGCTGATACCGCAACAGCTATTGCATCGATTTTCAAAACCAAACCTGAAGTTGACGACGTTTGGTACGACCCGAATAGGGAGGCCACAAGCAAATCATACGACACGGATAATTTAGGGGCGTTGTCGCTCGATTCATTTCGCGATGTAACCTTTCGTACAGTATTGAGGAATGCGATGAAGGAGAGCTGAGATGATGTCCGAGGTGTAAATTGTAGGATGTTCTGGCCTCAGCATCATATTTCATATCTTAATGGTTTCGGCCATGGTTACACTCTTTTTCGGGATATCTGACCAATACGGCATCAATGGTAATATTCCATGAGAATCACACTTTTTAGCTAGGAATCAATCAATCAACTTGGTTTTCTTCATGTTCTCTTAACCAGACAATTCTCCTTTAGGCAATGCCCCCTTGAGGTAGTGCAAGCCCAACATCGGTTAACCCCATCAATCATTTGCTCCATTTCTCACAATGCTTCTATTGGCCTGGTAGCCACCCATGCTTCTTCTCAGGATAATCTACACCCACTCAATCCCAGGCACTAATAATGATGCGTAAAATTGTCAGAATATTGCTTGAGGTCTTAAAAGGTTAAAATTTGACTATTATTTTGTTTCCCTTTCTCTTATTCAAAACAATACACAAGTCTTTCATCAAATTCCAATGGCTGGCCTAAAAATTGTGATAAATCCCAGCGATACTCATACCGGTGTAGAGTAGGTAACGCACCAACCAAGCAGTGGGTTGTTGTTAATACAGATTCTCTAGTGTCGTAGCTGTACACGGATTCAACGGTAATGAGAAAGACACATGGGAATCGGATGGTGGCCGTAATCACAGTGCACTGGCTGAAAGATGGTTCTTTTACTTCCAAACTCCGAGGATTTGCACCTATGGCTACGACATTGCAAGTGATAGCTCCAATTTTTTCGTCCGCCAAGGTCTTCGAGACGAGGCTATAAGATTGCTCAGTGCTTTGACGAAATTAAGAAGCGACGGTTCAAAGGTAGGAGTTGATTCAAGCACTTCATGCCAATTCCATATCTTAACTTTTTACAAGGGCCGTAATATTGTGTTCGTCGGTCATGATGTTGGCGGAATACTCGTCAAAGAGGTAATCAATATTTTCAAATCGATAATAGACACAAAACGCTTACTAGCTTGAATAAGGCTCTTATCATAGCATCTTCAAGTAGCAATATATTTCTTGATATATATCAAAAAACGCGGGGATTGGTTTGTGCCCAAAAACTCTAATAGCTTCAGAAAAACGAGTGCAAAATATATGTTGACAATAGTGATAGTTATTTTTCTCTTGCCCCCATCAGATAGACTCTGGTTCTGTTACCTCTCGTAATAGCTTTAGGAGACTCTTTGAACAGAAAAAGAATGCCAGCTTCACATTGACAGAAGAGTTCATCCATGCAATGGCCTGTCTGGTCGAAGATGTCAATGTACAGTTCTTGGATACTGGACTGCAATATCGAGTAGCGCTGGCGAATGTGTCTTCTGTTTCTAAGCAACCCAAAGAATCAGTAAGTGTGCGAATGCACCATAGCCACTAGCCTACTGATTAAATTCGTGAAAATAGATATTCTCAGTGAACGAAACGACTTTAGCTGTGCCAAATACGACCACACGACGAAGCAACGTGGTCAGTGAGACTTCTCACATCAGAATTGCACAAGAGCCTCTTCCCATACCTTTAGATATTCGTTGGGATGAAATGGTGGAATTTGCCGCGAATAATGGTGCGTTCTCTTTACTGGCATCATCATGCATCCACGCTCTGTCAGCGTATCGTAATTCAAAAGCAAGATCTGACGACCGTGTATAGATTTCCCTATGGAAAAGTTGATGCTCTCCCATACGAGCATCATTGACCTGCAGTTGTGCAAGCCTACTAGCCTCACCAATTTGGAAGATGAAATTTTCCAGAATGATAAATACCTCAATTGGATGAAAAGATCAGGAATGGCGCTATTGACAATCCAGTGCTTAGAAGACACTGAAAGAATGTCAGCAGCCATCGCCAGAAATTTAGACCGACTTGGAGACAGGAGATCGACTTTAGCATGTAAATACACTGGCAACATCCACGCATCTAATTGGATTAGCCGTCTTTTGTTCACTTCTTCAATTTTTTTGGAAGACAACGAGTATGTCAAGGAGGCTTTAAGTGAGTTTTGGATTCGAATTAGACATTTTTCAGGACCCAGTCCACAGGACATGGTTCATCTCTGGCGCGAAATCTTGTTATCTTATAATGGTAATATTTTTTGGGTGCTTCAGGATGTTGATTCAGACGTAGGAGCACTCCGAGAGCTGTTTGATTGGCTTGGGCTTTTGGGAGCTTCTTCTGAGGCAAGACTTAAAGTAATCATTGTAACCCGAAGTCAGGTAACAATTCAGGTTGATGCTCTTCCTTCTGAGATAATCATGATCAAAGAGGGGCAGAATTCTTCCCAACTAACTGAGAATTTACATCTCCAAAGAGCTCAATGTGAGCCAGAATTACACGGTCCTGAAATCACGAGCTTGGCTAAATGGGGTGACCCCGAATCGTCCATTTCTGGAAAGGAAAATTTAATACTGTTTGATGAAGATACTGAGGTACTGAAACTAGTGTTACAACGACCGCAACTCTATACTTGTCAGTCTATCATTAGGCAACGGTTGAGTCAATATCAGGACCCAGCCGTCCGCAAAGCTAATCTACACTGGCTGTGCTCCCTTGATTCGAAGCTGGCGTCATCTGAAATACAAAGACTAGTCTCAAACAGCTTTTTATTGAGCCCGAAGGAAAATCCAAAAGCAACTTTCAAGCGAATAATGGACAGCTTGAAATTCAAGGACATGGCGGTCCGAGTTCTCGAACTTCTGCTACATTCATTTCGGTCTCTGACACCTGGCGAGCTGACAGACGTCATAATCAGCGGATCTGTCCGCGAGGAATTGGAGGCTACTTCATGGACAGATATATTGGGCGAAAGCGGACTTTTTCCTGTTGTATTGGTGATTTCACACGATCGAGTCCAGTTTTCTCGCGAGTGCTTTCGCCAGCTCGCATCCTCGCATATATATGATGCACATATAGACCACCTGGACGAACGAACAACAGCTCAAGCGCATTCTCGAATTGCAATAATGTGTGTTGAGCATATCCGCTCGGCTCATAGCAGCAAGTTGAATGAGGGTAGAAGAGTGAAGAGAGGTCAACATCTCCAGCGACACACTGAATTTCTATCGTATGCTGCCAGATACTGGCCGAATCATAGCGAGTTGGCGGGGAACTCAATCTTACCAGAAATAGAACCATTCAAAGGTCTTGTAGAGCAGCATGAATTGCTTGAATATTGGGTCAATGCGTATGGAGACAACCTGGAGCCCCAAGAAGTAAGGCCGGACAACGTATCGCTCGTTAGTCCTCTGTCAATATTTGCAGAGCATGGATTGGAGCACATGTTGAGAGGGATTATATCATATTGCCGAAGCATGCCCGATTTCCCGAAGAAGTGTCTATTTGCTCTCGAATTGGCCGCTAGGAATGGCCACATTCAGGTCATTCAGAAATTGTTGGCGTTGAATCTCGACGAATACACTACATTCGATACAGCTATTTTCCTATCGATTGGCTGGCAGAATACAGATGCAGCTATTGCCCTCATAAAAGATGTGTACAACGCGCCAGGACGGCTTATAAACTCATCGAGGGTGCTTAGTCGGGCTATATTGATGGGGATGAGTGAAGTCGTCGCCTTACTTATTTCTCTCATGGCGGATAATGATCAACATTATGAAGGTATTGATCTTTTTGAGATGGCGGGCATTTCTGGACGGGTTGAGATTGTAAAAATCCTGATTGAGAGGAGATCAGAGCTTCAGCTCATGGACGAACAAGACCGAGATATGGTTACATGTTTTCAGCAGGCCCTTCAACATGGCCATCACGAGCTTTTACAATACCTGATTAATTCCAAGTTCAGACACTTGATCACACCTCGCAAACCCCAACAGTCAAAGAACGAAAATGAGCAAGACACCAAGTCAAGACATGGTGACGAAAACAGTAAAGTCTTTCAAGACTTGATGGTGAGAGCTGCTAGGCTTGGGCAATTTAAGATTCTGGAAAGTCTGCTTATGATCGCTGAAGGCGAAGTCCAAGACGATAGGGATTTTCTGGTCGAACTCATTGATATATCGGTCTCCCAACGACGACAAAAATGTTTCGAACTTTTGAACCAAGCTCTCTCAAAGCTAAACCAAGCAGACGAAAGCGAATACAAATATGGAATTGATACCTTCAAACTGATGAAAATAGCAATTCGGAATGGCGACACTACTATGTTTCAGACAATGCTGTCTCTCCGCTGGCCGTTTCGTGGGTTAAGCCCCGACGTGCTCTTCGAAATTCGAATAGAAAATATGGAAGAGAATGATGATTCGCTGGATTTCCTCAAGCTTCTTCTCGAGAAGGGCACAGAGGTCTTTGGCCCTCAGATTCTAGGAGATGCTCTTGAAAACGCCATTGGCCTAGCCATTTCGAAGGGTCGCGAGACAGTGGCGCAATGGCTAATCAAAAGCATAATTGGTCTTGATTTAGCGCCTGCGTTTAATAGTCCTAAATTCCTATCACGAACACCCCTCTTCCGCGCCGCCTATTATGGGAAATTAGGCCTAGCGAAACTGATTCTTGAACAAACTAAAGCAAATCCAAATGCCACTTCGGGTGATCCAAGAGAGTGGAAAGCACTCCACGCCGCATATGATTCTGTGGAAATGACCAGGCTATTGATTGCCTTCAAAGCAGACATCAATCAAAAAGATCTGGATGGCAAAACCCCACTTTTCTTGGCTATGGAGCAAGGCTTCTTTGACACCGCGAAAGAGCTGTTGAAGCACAAGCCCGAGTTGAACATTTTAGTTGAAGGAGATACCGAGCTCTCGCTAGCCCTTAAATTATCAGCAGACCAAGATGGTGATATTTTCAATACGCTTCTCGATGCAGGTGCAGATCCTTTTCTTCATAGCAAGGCAACTGTGGACCATCCATTACTGCACTCGTGCGTAAGATTGTCTAAATTAGCGGCCCTGAAAGCACTTTTGCTGCTCAACTTCTCATTAGAAGATGATGAAACAAAAGAAACGGCACTCAATTCTATTAGTAGCGCTACAGAAGCATCAGTCATAAATCTCCTTGTTAAACGGGGAGCCTCTATACTTACTAGAAACAAGGAAGGATTCACGCCTTTAGCGATTGCGGTCAAAGAGGGCAATATCGAAGTAACAAAATGCCTACTATCCCTCGGCGCAAACATTGATGATCCTACCAATAATTGCGACACCCCGATTCGTATATCATGCCGTTATTGTAATTTAGACATGGTCAAACTACTGCTGGAAAAGGGTGCCAATGTCAACGAAGCGACCGATAGTATCTTAGGAACACCGTTCCAGGCCACCTTGTTGCGTGAGACAAAAGATCCTACTATCATCAAATGTCTCCTTGAGCATGAGCAATTCGATCCCAACGGGAAGAGCTCATGGTGGGGTTGTAATCTTAACTTGGGCTGTCTCTTGGCGGATGTAGAAGTCATTGATAAATTGCTTGAGCTTAAAGCTGCAGTGGAAGTTGAGGATCATATGGGTCGATCTCCTATCCACTTTGCGCTTTACCGCACAGTTGAGCACATAGAAAGAATCAGTAAAGCTTGTAGTAAGGATGTTGATCTCCTTGCTGCTAAAGATCGTATGGGACGGAATGCACTCCACTTCGCGGTGGTAAGTGGTAGGTTGAATGTTGTCCAGTACGTCCTGAAGGACCACAAAGACTTCGTGAAAGAAGCTGATATCGACGGCTGGACACCACTGCTTTGGGCTATCAGAGATTGTGGCTTATGGGATACGGAAAGTGACCAGAAAGTTGCGATTATTGAAGAGCTTATTAAACAAGGCGCCGATCTTTCTGTCAAAGGAAAAGGCTTATATCGAGACTGGACTCCACGCAAGCTTGCGAAATATTATGGTTTGGGCGATGAGATGGATAAATTATTGACATCTAGTGCGGCTAATTCGCTTGACGAAGGAGAGCATGGAATTATAAAGGGACAGAAGGTGGATAGTGCGTATTGCGACGCGTGCCTAATGGCAAGTACCCATCTCTTGCTATTGTTGCTTTTCAGACCAATGGTCACTAACCTTTCGAGCTTTCAATTATGTAGATTATAGTGGATTTGTTCTTTCAATGCGAGGTTTGTCCCGAATTTTGCCTCTGCTTCAAGTGTTTCCGATCAAAAACTGAGATTCATAACTACAACCATGAATTTGTCGAAAACCGGTGGGCTGAGGAAGACTTCGACGAGTCAGATCCCGCAGAGGTACAAGACTCACTATCTGAAAGCATGACTGGCAGTTCTAGTGACGACGAAGATGAAATTTTAGATAATGGGGACGAAGCAAGGGAGGGCGTTGTAGATGGTGACGAAAATTTAGAGGAGCAATACTAGAGTATGTAGGCATAGATCGTGTGCGAAAATTTGATTATACATCTTAGCAGTGCACGGATTATAGGGAGGTGAGGAGAAGGGGGGACTTTTCCGGACAGAAAGTATATATGGGCTGCGCTAGAGCTGAGAGTTGCTGTGATCTCCTAGGGTCCTGTCAGTGCATGTATATATCTTGAATGATGCATGCAGAGAGCAACCAACCTCTGTCACAGACGTTACCAGGGTATAGGCTGAAACGCCTGTAATTATTATAGGTAATGGCCCTACTTTCTTGATTCTAGTATTTTGTTAACGAAACACTGAACTATCAATTTATAAAACATTACAAAAACCTTTTAATTAGTATATATATATTATTATTTAATAATCGGAGGCCGAAGGGGTGAAGCCTTTTTATTTTTATGATATCTTCTTTTGGAGTAAAGATTATTAAGGAGTTACTTTTGAAGTTCTAATAGTTATATATATATAATTATATTTAAAGATTGTAACGATTTCTAGATATATTCTTATAATTTTAAAGGTTTAAATATAAAATCCTTTTCTTAATAGAAACATTATATAATAAATAAATCTATCAAACTATAATTAGTTTGTTCAAACTTTATAATCTTTTAATATTTCTATAAATAATGTTTTTTATTATATAAGGAGAGTTATAAAGGAAATAATAATTTTATTTAATAATTTAATAATTTATTAAATTATCATTGTTTATTAAGGATTTGTGATTTAATATAGGATTTATAAGATTGAAAAGAAGATAATAATGTAAATAAATATTTATATAAAGGTTATTAATTTTTGTTTATTTTATAAGTATTTTTGTTTCTTTATATATATTGTAAAGATAAGATAATAGATTAATAGATTTGTTTTTCAATTAGGATTATTTTCTTTTGATTATATAATAAAAGAAAAAATGAAAAAAGAATTTGTAGATTTTATATTTGTAAAGAAAATAGATATTTTGATAACAAAAGTATTTATAGTATATTATGAAATCTTTATATTCGGAATGGATAATTAATAATCGTTTTAAAAAGTTTTTAGATAAGGAAAACTTTTTGAGGTTTTTTGATGATATACATATCTTCAGTTTTTTGTATATTTGAAGAATCATTATCGATTATAGCTTGTTGATTATTTTTTGTTTGAAATTTTTGATTTCTTTTTTGAATTTTGTATAAAAGTAATCTTTTTTGGATTGTGAAAGGTTAATGTTCTTTTTTGTTGTTTTGTTTGCTATTTTATTTTTTGTTATATTTTTGTATTTAAGAATTTATCGAATATAAATTGTATTGTTGTATTATTTTGTTATTAATTGATAAAAGAATATAAAAACCTTTTGAAAGGATTTTGTAAAATTTAAAAGAAATTTGATAATTATTTTGATATTGTTAAGGTAGATTTATATATCTTTTGTTACTATTGATTCGATTGAAGATATTGTTGTTTTAAAATCTTTGTATATTGTTATTGTTTTTGTATTATATATTTCTTTGTTTTTTTTGTAGATCTTATAGTTGTTTTGATAATCGATAAAGTTATTTTCTATATTATTATTTATATATTTTGATTTATTTAAAAAGATTATAATATCTTTTTGGGAAAGTAAATTGTAAAATTTATTGAAGTTTGTTATAATGTTTTCTGTGAAATAGTTTTTTGTATTATATATATATTATAGGGTTTTTTTTTGGTTTCTAAATTGAATTATTTGGAGATTGTTAAGAGGTTGATTTATTTTAATGATAAAAGAAACAGAATATATATTACAAATCATCTATATCTAAGATTATAATAATATTATAAATATCAGTGATTTAACTATTGATTATAAAGGGGTTCTTTATCACTACAATTAAGAATATAAAGATCCTAAAACAAGTGTTTTAAACAATTATAATATAAGAATTCTGGAATCTACTCACCGCACACCATTCAAATTCGTGACAAAATCCCTGCAAAAATCATATTTTCCTATATAAAATAAAATATCGAATAACTTTTTCAATGTTGAATTAAATCAAATGAAATTTTCAAATACTATAATTAACTACAAAAGAATATTAAAAAATTTATAATTTATTTTTAATTATTCTTTTCTAAAGTTATATCTATTTAAATTTAAAAATATTAAAATTTCATTCGTGTAACGCTTTTTGAACTTTTCCTCATATAAAATAAGCGATTTTTTAAACTTTTTGTTTTTCAATCTTAAATATATATAACTTTGAAACAAAAATAATAATAAATATTTCGTTAAATTTTTATTATATTTGAATCAATTATCTATATATATATCAATTTTTATATATTTATTTTATTATTTTATAAAGATAACAAGGGTTTAAAAAGTTGAAAAAATCGTTGATTTTGTTGTGATTTCGCTTATTGTGCAATGAGTAGATTCCAGAACTCTTAATAGAACAAATATTTTAATTCTACAAAATAGATTAGAATAATGATTATTTTAGGATACTTATTCTAGAATAATTACACTAGGATATCAACTATCCTAAAGAAGGAATTATTCTAAAACAATTCCAATAAAACAGAATCACTTTCAGAATAAAGAATCATATAATGAAATCTTTAAGAATATAGATTCCTTTAAGCTTCTTGAAACTCTTAAAAATATAAACTCTTCAAAGCTTCTGAAAAGGATTAATATATAATCAAAATAGTTTTATAGTTTAAAAGCTTTATATTCAATTTAATTATCAATTAGTTTATCTATATTCTATTTGATCTAATAACAAATTCATTTTCAAATAAATAATCAATGATTAATAATTTTAATTTAAAATTATCAATTATACAAATCTCAAATAATTATTGCCTCGATTAGATCATTACATTTTGAATATCATTATAATTAAACTATATATAATATAATAATTTTCAATTAATAATTCACTAAATTGTTTTCTTTCAACTTTATCAGAACTTTTATTCAAACTATTATAATAATGAAATATAAATAAACAATTCAAATATTTATCTTTAATTTATTTTATAAAGATTATAACAAATATTGAATTTTTATTACACAAATTGATTTTTATTATACTTTTAACAAATAACTTTTCTTAATTTCTATATAAAGAATTTTATAATTGATCTTTTTTTTTCAAGAAACTATATTCAATTGAATTAAATTATTTTTCAATAATTTAATAATTAAAATAATTGATAATCAATTGAATAGAAATATAAAATTTGAAATATATTGTTTCTTTCTCAATTACAAATTATTCAAACAAAAATTCGAGAAAATATTCAGAAAAATAAATCCTGATTATATAATTAAAAGAATATTACAATAATTTAAACAAACTAAATCAATTACAATTTATATTATTAAGTTTCAATAATATATTGAGTATATTATATAAAATAATAATTATCTAAAATCATAATTCTATAAAGGATTGAAAGATATCATCAAAAACAAATTAACAAAAATTCCAAAACTATTTAATCTTTTTGAACTAATTACAACTTTTATTCTTATTGATAATCGATTTTATAAACAATAAATAAAAAAGAAAAAAATCATTTAAAAAAATAAAAAGTTTTAAAAATCTTATTATTAGAATAAATATTATGATATTAATAATCTAATAAAATTAGATAATATTAAATAATATTATATAAAATCAAATAATCTAAATATTGATAAAAAGAAAAAATATATAAAGAATAATTTATATTATATCTATAAGAAAAATAAATATATATTCAAAGATTATTCTCAAAAGAAGAAACTATTCATTACAAATAATAAAAAATATATAATATTCAAAAACAAAAAATAAAATTCTCAAAAACCAGAAATTTTAAAAGAAAGTTTAAAGAAAATAGAATTATTTAAAATAAATCTATTTCAACTCAATTTTGAACAATTAAAGAAATTAAATATTATTATTCAAAACTTTAAAAACGATATTAAAAACAATATTGATTATAAAAATAAATCGTCGAAATCTTTCAAAATAAAAAATAAAAAATTAATTAAAGAATACAAAAAAAATCAACAATTAATAAAATCTTATCAATTGTTTCAAAAGAACAAATTATAATATTTAATTACTTAAATGAAAAATATATTTAATATTATTATAAAAGGAAAAACTAGATTTTATTGAAAGATATCGAATTTATAATTATTCTACCTTGTTAATCTTTTATATAATAATATATATTATGTAATATTTAAAAAAATATAAAAATAAATAATATTAAAAGATATATTATAAATATAAATTCTTTTTATATCAATAAAATATAGAAGTTAAAGATATATAAGAAATCCTATTACAAATAAGAAATTGAAGAATTTGATATAAAATTAATCTTTATAACGAATTTCGTTTAAACAAAAATTATTATCAAGACTTTCAAACAAAATTAATAAAATTACTCTTTATTATACTTTATCAATTATTGAATATAAATAAATACTAATAAAAATAATTAAATCTCTTCATTGAAGAATAAATCATCAAATTATTATTGTTAGAACTCAATAATATAACAAAAATCGAGCAATTAATTATAGAAATCAATTTAAAGAACTAAAAAACTAAAACCTTGATTGATTTAGAAACTATAAGAATATTTATAGATCTCAAATTTACAAAGGAAAATAAAATCCTTATAGAACCAAAACAAAACCTTTATTAATTAATACTATTGAAAGATAAGAAAACTAAAATTAATAATTAAATATATAAAGAAACCAATATTATCAAATTAATGATATCAAATAAATATCTCGAATAGATCAAAATGGATTTAATATTATTAGATAAATATATAATCATCTTCAATATCTTTTGAATTAAAAAGTATAATTCAAATATTGATTAAATAAAAGACATTTTAATATTCAATTGATATAGATACAAAAACAAATGATTATATAATCCAAAGGAATAGATTTCTAAGGAGATCAGATATTATATTATAATAACAATGAATTTTCTATTATTCAGTAAAACTAATAAAAAAGAAATTTCAATATAATACAAAAGATTTATCCAGTTGTTTGAAGATTTACAGAATTTGAAAGTTTTATTAGAATATAAACCTTCAAATCATAAAATCAACTTCAAAAAAGGATTTGTATCTTTTATCAAAAAATTAAGATTATACAATTTTAATATTATAAAAATATAAAAAGAATAC